AATATTTTTAAAAATTATAATAATTATATTTAACAATATTAAATTAATATAATAAAAAAGTGATGATGATATCTTTAAAGAATAAAAGTGTAATTTATTTAATATTTTAATATATAAAAATTAAATAATATAATATATATCTCTTAATATATTTTATCATTAAAAAAAAAGAGAATGCAATACTTTATGCTTTTATCTCTCCAAAAATTGATATAATTTATTCTAATTAAAAAAATATTTTATCACTAATCAGACGTATCTTTATTATTTTTTTATGATAATTATCATAAAATTATATTAATAATAAATTTAATAAATTTATAATATAAAATATGAATAAATCATTCACATACCAAGAATATAAAGAAATTTTATATTATAATTTAATTAGATATTAACTCTTAAAAATAAATATCTTAAAATTATATCAATATTATCTTTTGATTTATTGATATTATAATTTATATATATATAATCTCGTGAAATGTTTTACATATAAAAAAAACATAGAAATTAGATTTAGGCTTAATATGTTTTAGATTTCTCAAATTTAAAATAAATTTCATTTTATTCTTTTAAATTTAAAAGTAACTTTTTTAGTTTATGTAATTTTCAAAATAACTTATATATGTTTTCAATTCTTGAAATTTAGAATAAATTTATTTTTAATCTCTTAAATTTAAAATTTTTATTTTTAATTCTGTAATTTAAAAAAAAAATATTTTATGTCAATGATAATATATTTAAAAATAATAAATTAAGATAATTATGTAATATTAACCGACTTTAATATAATGTTTTAATTAATAGAAATATCAATTAGTAAATTTTATTTAATAGTATTTTTACAAAAAATTACTTATTAATATTTTATTAGTAAAAGTATCACATTAAACTTAGTTGATATTATATAATTATCTCAATTTATCACTTTAAGATATATTATTGATCACTCGAAAAATTAAAACAAACTTTTTAAAAATTATAAAATTAGAAAAATAATTTTAAATTTGAAAAATTAAAAATAAATTTACTTTAAATTTAAGATATTAAAATTATATTTAAATTTTAAATTTATTTATTAATGATATTTCCTTTTTATTTTATATATTTTATGCTTTCTGAGTTTTAATTTTGTTGGTGGCCGTATTATTATTTATTTTCTGGGTTGTTGAAGCGATGAAATTTAATGGAGAGTGTAAAATGACAGGAAGAGGCTTAAGATTTGTACACGCAACTCAAGGAGGTTAGCGTTGCGAGGGGAATCAATTTGAAGAGAGTCGGTTTGGTTCATTGGTTGGAGACTCGGTGCGGTAATGGTTAGGTCTTTTTCACGACACCACATCTGTTTCTCACTTTTCTTTTCCAACCAACGGTGATGATGCCATGTGAATCTTCAAATTCCATTTTGTTGCGTGATAAGAGTATCAACACATTACAGACAAATTTTAAAATAAAAATTTTAGAAAGAGAAAAAAAAGTTAATTCAAATACTAAATTTTCATATTTCTTCATTCATTTTCAATTTTCTCGGCAGCTACATATTAAAGAATGTTATTCAAAGCCAAGTGAATGTTTTTAATTTGTGGTTATAATTAGGAATGAAGTCGTTTGGATCTTAAATAGAGCATTCGGTCTCACATATTTAAAGTTTAGTTGGCCTGATTTATCTAATTAAAATCTTATTTATTTAAAAATTTTGAGTTTAAATTTATAAAAAAAAATTATTAAATTTAATAGATTAACTTATTTATTCATATAATATAATAAAAAATTAATATATATTACATTATTAATAATATAATTAAATAAATAAGTTTGTAATATAAAAAATTAAATTATTAATATTTCTTACATATTTATTATACTTAAACATTTTACATTGTTCATACAAAATTTAAAAATCAAAAATAAAAATTGTATCAATTATACTTTTATTGGCTTGTTTCATTCATATTCATAATTGGTTATTTATAATTTTTAAAATGAAATATAAGAAATATTTATAAATTTTTTTATAAAATTATTCTCTTTCATCATAGTTTGTGCATAAATGTACATTAACTTATATGAATATATATAAGTTATCTCCATTACATTGGATTTTATTTTCGTTTAAAATCTAATTTTTAAGGACAATGAAGTAAAGTATTTTCTATTACGCAAATTAAAAAAAGTGGCATGCATATTTAAAAATAGAGTTATCTCACATCTAGCATCATACAAATCACATCTAGCATCATACAAATCACATCTAGCACCATTTCAACTCGAGACAAGTATCTTTCTTAAGCTCAGCCCCACCAATCATGCGTCTGGCGTAATCAAGACAAAGAGTTGATGTTGGAATGACGCCTGACACCCTAAAGGCATGCCCGACACAATGCGAGTTCTACATTTATGCAAATCAGCATATTTCATTCACAACCCAAAACTCCAACTTTCAACATGTTTTTCACTTCAAATTTACCAACCCAGCCACAACACTTTGAAATTTCGCACAATGTGTAACTTAGGAATCATTCACTAGCTAACAACTCATCCAAAACACAATAAATCCAACTTCCCTTACCTCAAAAATCTCTAGGCCAAAAGAGGAGAAGAAAGAAGAAGAAAACAACTTCAAGTGAACGAACAAGCTTGATTCGTGGTTCCTACTAACCTGAATCAACAAATGACACTCTACTTATAATTAAGAAACCAAGAGGAAAGGATTTAGAGTTGAAGGAAACCAATAACTAGAGTCTTTGTCTTTAGAATTCAAAGAACTTGAGTTTGTGAGACTTTATTCTTAATAGAAACATTATGTACTCTTCCTTTCAAGGTCAAGTTGGATATCTATCCAGAGAACCCCCAACACTACTGAAATTATCATAAGAAATTCTCATATTCTAAAGTTTCTAAACATATAGCACAACAACTGAATTTAACTATATAAAATTATTTAAAATAATTATAACACTCTACAACTTACATTGTCACAATATTTGTCACCATTTTTTTTCTTACTAAAAGTGACATATTTCATTTTATTCAAAATAAGAAAACGAATATAACTTGGTATGTAACCAAATACTTGGCGGTTAGTATAAATTTTTTGATACTTTAACTAAACTATAAGCAACATATTTACTTGAAAACTTACCATATCTCTTGGAATACTATTGAAATACTCTAAACATTTAGATAAGACAATGTGAACTTCAGAATATCCATCATAAATTTTCAAAAACTTATCAACAAATAATGTACAATCTAGTTCAACAATTGCATTTCGAACTTTTATTTCATGTAATCAATCCAGCGCCTGCATCAAATTGTAAGCTTTTTCCTCTATTGGTTCCGAAATGCCATGGTGTAGTGTGGTTTTAGCCTTGATAAATTGTCCTTAGTCATCTCTTAAACAATTGTTAAGATCAAGAGATCTTAATTATATTATTTCTTGTGCGATGTTTATAACCATTATTAAGACCAGCAAATCAAAAACACTATATGTCTCGTGTATTTTAAAATAAAAATAATAAACAATAAAAGGTAATTGAAGTTAAATAAAACAAAGTAGTTAACAATGAATGCCAGTAGTTTTCGATAGCTAGTTAGGTGATGTAATAAAAACTAGATAAAAAATGTTTTGAAAATTATAAACACAAAATGATCCACAAAAGTTTACATTAAAAAGATATATTACTTTTATTAATAATATTCATCGATATATTTTGATTGTATTACTTATAGGAGTTGGTTTTTTAAAAAAAAAATAGAGAGAGACGGATTGAATTTTTATTAAATAATAAACTAAGATTTTAATTATTATTTGGATACGAGTCTATGTTTTATATATGCTAAAATAGAATTTCGGTCTCTCATTTTTATTTTAGATTTTAATTTGATTGCTTAAGTTTAAAAAGTTTCACTTTAGTTTTTTTAAGTGTTTTTGTTTGTTACATTGATTCTTCTGTCAATTTTTTCATCATCCTCCCAACTTGTCACATGCCACTCAATTGATCAAATTAATATGATAAATTGATTGAATGACCAACTTATCTAACAAAAATACTCTAAAGAGTTAAAGTGAAACTTTTTAAAATTAAAGAACGAAACTAAAACCAAACATATAAATAATTAAGGACTAAAATTTTATTTTATCCTTTAATATGTGGGATATCTCTAAAGCAAATAATAAATTAGTTAATTTAATT